GCTTGCTCCGGGTCCCAATCACTGGAGGGAGTCATCTTAGATCCTTGAGGTATGTCACTGAGGGTGTATGCTGTGAAATTCTGGCCTTCGTGGTTCCCTTCGAGTGTTTCAAGAGTTGGTTCTCCGTTTTTGCTCAGAAAAAATGGGAGGGTCGCCCTACCATGAGGAAGGGCTGCCTGAAAATTGCATGACTCACTTGAGCTGACAGGGCGCTCGCCCTTATGTATGAGCGGGTCGCCCATTTTTTCTGTAAAACTTCTTCTTCCGTTTTCAAGCTGGTCGCCCTAAAATTAGGGAGGGCCGCCTGAAATTTCTGTGAACCAACTGAAACTGTAGAGAGGTCGCTCGTGTTTGTGAGCGGGTCGCCTGAATTTTCTGTAAAAATTTATGATTCTTCCGTTTTCAAGCTGGCCGCCCTAAAATTAGGGAGGACCGCCTGAAATTTCTGTAACTCGTCACTTTCTTCTATTTCACTATCCAAAGCCTTTCTGATCACCTCAATCTCCTCCCAATTGCTATACAAACTTTCATTTGTTGCCATTAGTGATATTTCCAATGGATCGATCTCTCGGAACTCTTCCATCACTTCTTCGACCATTACTTCCAAGTCATCCACGAAGCATACTGTATCATTGGTGGAGGGTTGTCGAAGATTCTGATCGAGAGTGAATTCCACAGTTTCATCTCCGATTTTCATTGTCAACCTTCCCGCTCTAACATGAACTATGGCGTCTGCGGTACTTAGAAAGGGTCGACCAAGAAAAATCGGAACTTTGGAGTCTTCATCCATATCCAATACCACGAAATCAACTGGAACGTAAAATCCACCAATCTTCAGGGGTACATCTTCCACTATCCCCGCTGGATACTTGATCAAACGATCCGCTAACTGTAGAGCCATTCTTGTTGGTTTCAATTCCCCTATATTCAGCTTCTTGTAGATCGACAAAGGCATAAGACTTACACTCGCTCCCAGATCGCATAGAGCTCGATCTATCTCAATGTTGCCCAACTTGCAAGGTATGGAGAAGCTTCCCGGATCCGACATCTTCGGAGGGAGCTCGTGTCTTGTAATGGCGGCACTGATTTCAGTGCTTAAGGCCACCGTTTCCTTTTCTACCACTCGCTTCTTAGTCAAAATATCCTTTAGAAACTTTGCATAGGAAGGCATTTGGAGAATCGCTTCATGGAATGACATCGTAATCTCCATCTTTTTCAGCATCTCCGCAAACTTTCCAAACTGGCTTTCTTCATTGAACTTTTTCAAACGAGAGGGAAAAGGGATTGGA